AGCTCCCGCGCTTGTTCACGAGGGCACAGTGCACTAAGGGGTTTCCTGCTCTGGGAGGCAAGAGGGCCAGGGTCTTGTTGAGATTGGAAGTTAGAGCTGAGATTGCCCTGAGTCCCTGAGAGTGGGGACCCCCAGGACAATTGCTCCTGTGCAGCCAGGGAATCTCTCACTCACTGAGCGAGCTGCCTGTCAGATTCTCAAACACACAGCCGGCTCCACGTCTCCCTCCCCACAGCCCCTTCTCCCACGAGGGACATAAAGAGGGAATTAGATTTTCAGACCACCTTTCCATAAAACAAAGGATGATGAGACAGAGAGAATTGATGTGAAGATTGCTCTGCTATTTTGGACATAACAAAACCGAACATAAAAACCATGGCATAACATCTTCGGTGCTGTCTTTCTTGTACTCGCAAATTCTGATGCGTGGTAGATATATATCAAGATTTGGTTAAAAGGGGCCAGCGGTGGAGAACGTGAAGCCCCCGGGGAAACGAATCTACTCCACAGCCCCTTTCGGGTGGTGCTCTGGGAATGTGTTTGGTTTGCACGTGAACAACGCAGTCTCCCCTGTTCTACAATCTAGGACATGCATGCATTAGCACTTGGACTCGGGCTTGAATTGCAAATTTGATTTTTGTTGTTCATGTTAAGAAAGCCACTCCAGATGCCTGGGGAACATTAAGGTTTGGCCAGCTAGGGAACAGAAATATTGTCATTATAACCTATCTGTGTCTTGAAGATTCAGGAAGCATTCTGTCCCCATGGTAGTCGTGACTGAATTTTAAAACTAGTGAAGCTAAGGCGTAGTGAGTGCTGACTCTGGGTCCCACGTGCAGAATTATGTGTTTGCACATTATCTCCCATGAACCCCCTCCCTCACAGTAACTCTGCGAGCTCCCCCTCACTGCGAGCTAGTGCTACTAATCCATTTGGAAACTCATGAACCAAACTTGGGACAATTTATAGACATTTCTCCAAGTCTGTCCTTTAAGTGTCAGCTGGGAGCTGCCAGGGACTCAGAGGCAAGCAGAAGAGAAGCCTCCAGTGTGGCCGTTCTGGCGCCACAGCCATCCATGACTGGGTACCGTCCGCCATCTTAGTGCAGGGGGGGGGGCCGTCTCCACCCATCCTTCTCACTCCAGTGCCTTGCTCTTACTTCTGCGATGCTGGCCTCTGGTGTCTCACCTGCTTAACCCCTTAGAGGTGAGTGGGTTCCCAAGCAGACCTGTTGGCCTCTGGAGCCTTGGCCACCTCTGTTTTATAGGGGGACAGGTAGAAAGTTTTCAGCCCTGTCCATCCATTACATGACCTAGAACAGAATTGTGGGCCTGCGAGTTCTGAACTAGCATCAGATTTGTTTTTTTTTAAAGGCAAGCTCTCATTTTCTGAAGCTTAACGTCCCTTCAGGAGGTGCCCGGGCCTCATCTCTGTTAGGCCTTTCGGCTGTGACACTTGAGCGACATACATTCACTCACCTGTCACAACGGTGATCCCATCATGGTTTCCTGGTCTGTTCCATAAACAACGTTGTTTCCTAGCAGAGTTCCCCTAACGTGATGGATTGAAGCGTCATTTTCTTTGAAGTTGAGTTCTAGTGTGTCCCAGTTAGGTCCCTGTTTTCAGCTGTTCAAGAGCCTCAACTGGGCGATTATGACAGGCTCTGGTTTGTAATTAAAACTAAGATTTGGAGGAAAGGGATTAGATAGGAGTGTGGCTCAGAGTCCCTTTGGCTCTGCTTACTTTCAAAGAATGGAGTTCCCTGCTTCTAAGAAAGCCTGTGCTCCATAAGATTCCCATCACCAGGTGGGCTTCACAATCCACGGGGCTCCTCTAGAGCTGTGCCAACCACACAGCGTGCAGCTCAGAGGGAATCTGACCCCTCTCACCTAACACCCATCGCCTATGTGTCTCTGCCAAGAATGGGGTACACAGGTAGAAGAACCGGACTCCACTGTGCACACTTTTGCTGCCCAGGGAGACATTTGCAAAGGGAACGCCTTCGCCCACATGACAATTATTTCCCCAGCTCCCATCCTATGGACCAGAGCTCCCTTTCTGGAAGAAAGAAAGGTCACAAAGACACGAACTGGACCTAAAACTAATAAACTCATAGAGTTAGCAAAAGTTAACACTCTTTGGAACAAGAGATTGTCCCATCCATTACCAGGAATGAAGATTCTCAATCAGAAACTCCTTATGGCTGGCTTCTACTGTCATTCAAACTCACTTGTCACCTCTCTGACTTAGACAAGAGGATTTTTTCACTCATTTTGCAGCTACTTATTAACTGTTGCCAAGAACCTGACCACTGCAGATACCCAGGAAGCAAGTCAGCTATGGTCCCAACTTCTTGGCACAAAGTATGATAAAGTCTGTAATGGGGAAGTATAGATGGCTTGGAAAACCTTATTCTGATTAATCCAATTCAGTGTGGGTGGGTTGGGGTGGGAAAGGAAGGGATCCATGACTCCTTACAGTAAGAGGGATCTGAAATCTGATGTGAAAAACAAGCAGCTATTGGCCAGGGAAAGGGAGAGGATAGGGAGTGCTAACCAGGAAAGGGAGGGGTTAGGGAGTGCTAACCAGGAAAGGGGAGGAAAGGGTGAGTTTTTTTCCAAGCAAAGAAAGCATTGTTTTGCCTGGAGACAGAAGAAAGCTTGACCCAGGGAACTTAACAGCGACTGAAGAAGGCTGGGGTACAGTTCGATGTTCAGAGCTTGCCTAGCATGAGCAAGGTCCCCGGGTGTGATTCCATACACACACACACACACACACACACACACACACACACACACACACACACAGAGAGAGAGAGAGAGAGAGAGAGAGAGAGAGAGAGAGAGAGAGAGAGAGAGAGAGAGAGATTTAAAAGGGTTTTAGGAGAATTGATAGAAGATGTACATACACTGGATACAGATAGCGAGGATGGAGACAGACAGGACAGGAAGATGCAAAGATGACAGTTGACATTTTAGTCTGATTACTTCAGGCTTGTAAGCAGGAACCACACTGCAATGTATCTTTTGAAGAAGGCGATGTTGTGTAGAATAGATAGGAGAGAACTAAACAATGATTAGAAGAACAGTTAAGGGAGAGAGTGGGTCAACTGGAGATGGTCCCCCAGTCTGGGGCAGTGACGGCATGGATAGACATCAGTGTATGATGCTCACACTTCTGTCCTGGTTAACCTTGGGTACTGAGATGGTGAACAGGTGAGCATTGTATTGAACCGAGATGTTCCTTAACTGTGTCTGAAAAAATTGGTGTTAGTGGGGCTCTGCAAAGAGGGAGCTAGCTGGCTACCCTATTTGTGACCAGGGAAGATGGTCGAGGATCTTGGAGTAGAGGGGAATGCCCAGGAAATCATATAAATGAACAGAAGAAAAACGTTTAAGGAGAAACCTGGGAGAATCCCATCATCTACAATAAAGAGTACATGCTAGTGAGAAGGAGGAGCTCTCACCAAGCGTGGCCTCACGGGAGAGAATGGAAACCAAGCATCAGGTGGTGCTGCAAGCGAGATAAACCAAGAGACAGGCGCGGGTCTTGGGCATTGTTCATCATTGTCTGCTATTTGGTAATGTGTTAAATCCATATTCATAAGACATTTTCGCTGCTCTGGTCACTAGGGCAAGAGAATGGAACCAACCTAGTTGCCCATGAACCCATAAGTGGGTAATAAAACTCTGCTACATATATAAAATGGAATACTGTCTAGTCTAAAGAAAAAAATGAAACCACAAAACTAGTAGAGAAATTGACTTTGAAAGTATAAAAGTTGGGACTGGAGAGATGGCTCAGTGGTTAAAAGCACTAACTGCTCTTCCGAAGGACCAGGGTTCAATTCCCAGCACCCACATGGAGGCTCACAACTGTCTGTAACTCCAGTTCCAGAGCATCTGGTGTCCTCACACATACACACATGCAGGCAAAACCCCAATGTGCATAAAAAAGAAATAAATATTTAAAAATACAAAGAAAGCATAAAAGTAAGAGTTACTCATTCTCAGAAAAAAATTGCATGTTTTTCCTTATATGGGGATCTAGTCTATAATATATATGTGTGTAATAGTATATATGTAGTAAGAACAGGAAAGGCTACTATTTGGTGGCGAGGAGGGACAGAATTCAGATCAAGTCACAAAAGGATATAAAACTAGGTTTTCTAGTTTTGAATCTCTTGATTTTTCAGTTTTTTGTGGTGGATAAGTGCATATGATGTAAGTGATAATGAAAGTGTAAAATCTAATGACAAGTTTGACAGCTTCTAATTGGCTGAACTATGTAGTTCATTGTAGACTTTGGGTCTGGGTAAATGCTATGCTAATCTCTGTGTGTGTATTTTTTTCAGTTCATTATAACAAACTTTTTCTTCAAGGACATTGCTAGTTTTCTTCAAAAAATTGTTGATTTAATTCCTTGATGGTTTCAATTATGGGGGTGTGGTGAGGATTGAGGATGGGTATCTTTTTCAAGTACAATGTGTTTTAGTCCACATCTCAAATGTGGACTCTTCTCATTTGGATAATGCAAGCGGTGACCCTTCTCTGTGACCTCTACCCCGCTTTTAGATGAAGGCTTTTCTCACAGATTTCAAATTATGGGGTTGCCTGATTTTGAAGCGTGTTCTAAAGCACTTAAGATGTAGTTCATGGGCTAATGGGTTACTTATGGTAGTATCTGAGTTCCATTCCAAAAACCTGTGAACAACAACCAGAAAAATCCAGGCATATATCCACTTGTTATCCCAGCACTCAGAAAGCAAGTGGATAGGTCCCAGGGGCTCATAGCTAACCTCACCCCCTGGGCATGCTCCAGGCCAATGAGACACTCTGTCTCAAAATAGGACGCACAGTGCCCGAGGTTGTCCTCCACACAGGTGCTCATGGATATGCACGACCGTGCGTCCACATAAAGGTAGTTCACAGCAATGAGCATCACAATGTTTAAGAGTTCAGTATGAGATCAAGTCATCTTATCTCCCATCTCTTTTCCAGCTCCAGGAGACGGTGAAAAGGAAGCTGGAAGGGGCCCGGTCACCACTTAATGGGGACCAGCAGAATGGGGCTTGCGACGGGAGCTTCTCTCCAACAAGCAAGCGCATCCGGAAGGATCTTCCCACGGGCATGGAAGCCATCAGCAGCTTGCCCAGCAGCATGCCACTGCCTTCCGCTTCACCCCTTCACCAACTTGACCTCAAGCCTTCTTTGCCCTTGCAGAACAGTGCTGCTCACACTCCTGGGCTTCTGGAAGATCTGGGTAAGAACGGCAGGCTCCCTGAGATTAAACTCCCCGTCAATGGCTGCGGGGACCTGGAGGATAGCTTTGCTGTACTGCAGAGCAAGGACCTCAAACAGGAGCCTCTCGATGACCCTGCCTGCATAGACACATCAGAAACGTCACTTTCTAATCAGAACAAGCTCTTCTCTGACATTAACCTGAATGACCAAGAGTGGCAGGAACTAATAGATGAGCTGGCCAACACGGTTCCAGAAGACGACATCCAGGACCTGTTCAATGAAGACTTTGAAGAGAAGAAGGATCAGGAATTCTCACAGACAACCATGGAGACCCCACTCTCCCACGAGAGTGCGAGTGTGAAGAGCGATGCCTCTCATTCTCCTTTTGCACACGTCTCTATGGGATCGCCCCAGGCCAGACCTTCGTCTTCTGGTCCTCCCTTTTCTACTGTCCCCACAGCCACCAGCTTACCCTCTGTGGCCAACACTCCCGTGGCTCCAAACCCTGCCAGCTCACCAGCTAACTGCGCTGCCCAGTCCCCCCAAACTCCAACGCAAGCCCACACTCCAGGTCAAGCCCCACCTCGGCCTGGCAATGGCTATCTCCTCAATCCAGTCTCGGGGACGGTATCCGGTTCAGGGTCGGGCTCAGTGGCAGTGCCCAGCTCTGACATGTCCCCGGCAGAGCAGCTCAAACAGATGGCTGTCCAGCAACAACAGAGGGCCAAACTCATGCAGCAGAAACAGCAGCAGCAGCAGCAACAGCAGCAGCAGCAGCAGCAGCAGCCCCACTCAAATCAGACTTCAAGTTGGTCTCCCTTAGGGCCTCCGTCAAGTCCTTATGGAGCTGCTTTTACGGCAGAAAAACCAAATAGCCCAATGATGTACCCCCAAGCCTTTAACAACCAAAACACTATAGTGCCTGCAATGGCCAACAGCCTGCAGAAGACGACCATGAACAACTACCTCCCTTCGAATCACATGAATATGATCAGTCAGCAGCCAAATAACTTGGGTACAAACTCCTTAAACAAACAGCACAATATTCTCACCTATGGCAACACTAAGCCTCTGACCCATTTTAACGCGGACTTGAGCCCGACAATGACACCCCCCATGGCCAACCCCAACAAAAACCCGCTGATGCCCTACATCCAGCAGCAGCCTCCTCAGCCGCAGCCGCAGCCGCAGCCCGGCCAGCAGCAGCCGCAGCAGCCGCCACAGCTGCAGGCTCCTAGGGCGCACCTGAGTGAGGACCAGAAGCGCATGCTTCTCATTAAGCAGAAAGGAGTGATGAATCCGCCCATGGCCTACGCTGCGCTTCCGGCCCATGGTCAGGTAAGTGAGAGGCGGTGCACAGTGGGCACCGTTCTTACCTGCATGCCAGGCTTTCCTGTGGTACCAGGCACCAGGCTTGGCCTGGAAGGGAGCCTAATCGCCATCTGAAACCCTCCCCTGTACATCCTTGTGCGGTTTCTTCTCAGAGTTGTGCATAAATGCCTAGGAACCCAACATCCCATTCCTGACTGCAGCCAAGAAAATTATAAATAAGTCCAGTTTTCACCGTGAGGAAAGCGGGCTGCAGAAGGCTCGTGACCCGGCATGGCATACCTCTATGGTTTTTCTTTCGGTTCATTAGCCAAAGGGTGATAGGAGGGCAGGGGTTCTCGGGCCTGCCTATCACTGTTGTACACCGTCTGGACAAATCATCAACCATCTTAACAGGCTATGAATGATGGGAAATACGGACTCGCGGCCTTTAAAAATCAGGGCGTTTTTGTATTTTCAGAGTGAAGTAGAGAGTGGATCTTGTGAGTGTTCAATGTTTTAACATTTGCCATTTTGCCAGCAACAGTTAGATATCTCGATCACATGCCTTAGGAGTATGGCATCCCTGTCTGAGGCATTCAGCTGCATTTCAGCAAGAGTTGCTAGTGAATTTATGGTGTCTATGGGTGTGGGGGGGTGGGGAGTGAGAAGGTGGGGGGTGGGGGTGGGGGTGTTTCTTTACTTTCAGTTGCTGTCTGTGGAATGCGGTGTCCCGTAGGTAGATACGAGGCAACTCCGCATCTTGTGGTTCCCCGAGGTTGGTAGACGCTACAGGCTGGAGGAGGTGTAGCCTGTATAGACAGGCCAGAGCTTGGTGGCTTCATTCTTGTCCTTTGCAGTCTTCCAACCCCCAAACCTCCCGGTGATTTCTTGTCTCCACATGCCAGCTAGATCTAAAGAAGTCCTGTCTGAATAAATAAAAGTACGGCTTGATTTTACATCAACTGCAATTGGAAACTAGTAGGAAACGTTTTTGAAATACAGAAACTAAATTAAAATATAGAAATATATCAGTGGAAACGCAACCTTTTATACACTTTAAGTTCAGAAGCAAGCAAAAATAGAGGCAATGTGCAAGGATGCTTGTGGGAGCTCAGATGCACCAGGAGGTTCACGAGATTACATGCTGTCAAATGATCTGTTGTTAATCTTAATATAAATTATGCTTCTACTCGGTCTGTTTTTAGGCCTGTATTTCTTCCGAGCCCAACCAAAGATGATTAATTCCAACTTGCAGGTCCTGTAGACAAGTGGGTGCAATGATACCCCTCCGTCCTCCGAGACCCACACTAACCCCTTTCTAAGTATGCTAACTAGAAACAGTCATGGCTGGAACATGGGGTTTTTTAAAGAGATCCTTTAGGGTCCTAATGTTTGCAGGTGGGTCCCTGAGGCCTTTAGCTGTGGGGATTGTGTTTTGAAAGGGCTCAGTGGGCTGAAGCAGTGTCTGGATTAAATCTGAATAGAACACCCTCCATCTGAGAGATGCTTTCAGGGTGGACAGACTCTTCCCTGGCAAGGGCTCTTAGCACAACTGCTTCTTAGCACAGAGCACAGACAGGCTTCCTAATGAAGTAGTAACTGCCCGGCGTTTGAAACAAGTTTCAAGATACTTACAGAAGCATGTGAGGGTTTCTCTACAAACACACCATTTCAGATTTTTATCTGATTGTGAACCGGTATTTTCATCGCTCTCAATGTAGTCATTTATGCTGTGTTTAGGCACAGAACACAGATGCTGGCGTGAGTTACAGACAAGACACCAAATGTTAATCTGTGCTGTTTCCTCTGTCTTAGTAGTGGGAGTTCTGTTTCCCCTTGCTGGACCCAAAAGACTATGACCAATGCTTGGTTTAATGACTTGGGCAATGAAATAGTTTGATAACATCAGATACATTTATTTCATGAAAGTTACACAGTTACTCATGTGGGAGTCACTAGAGACCGAGGTTTCTCTCAGGAACAAGTTGAAATGCATGCACTTTCTGGGTATTTGTTTTTGTTTTATTGTTTTTAAAGAAAAGAAAAGAAATAAGCCAGACATGGTGGACCATGCCTTTAATCTCAGCAGGTGGAATTCTGTGAGTTTGAGCCCAGCCAGGATAACATAGTGAAATGCGGTCTCAAAGCAAACAAGGTTAATTTTTTAATGGCTTTTATCTAGGAAGTCTTTTTTGTAGAATGTATATGTTGCTGGTGGTGGTGGCGCACGCCTTTAATCCCAGCACTCGGGAGGCAGAGGCAGGCGGATCTCTGTGAGTTTGAGGCCAGGCTGGACCGACAGCCTCCAAAACAATACAGAGAAACCCTGTCTCGTAAAACCAAAAAAAAAAAGAATGTATATGTTATTCTCATAATATCAGATTGAACAAAGATAATCATGATTTATTTATTTTATGTATGTGAGCATCTTCCCTGAATGCCAGTGTGTGCGCCACCTGTGTGCAGTACCTGTGGAGGCCAGCAGAGGGATCAGATCTCCTGGAACTGGAGTTACAGATGGTTGGTTACGAGCTGGGTGCTGGGAATAGAACCCAGGTCCTTTGGAAGAGCAGCCAGTGCTCTTAACTGCTGAGCCATCTCAGAAACCCTTCCCTGTTACTTTTAATAGCAAAAAAAAAATGAGATCAACAGAAAAACTTTGGATAGGTTTGTCATAATTTCCTAATTTTGCAGTTTCTCAAGAACAAGATCTCTACCCCAGCTAGTTATTTGCACAGTGCCCAACCCTGTGTTTAAAACTATTTAATAAGCCATTTGATGAAAATTAGCGACATGTGGGTCAGAGATATGTTTTCAGCTGGCTGTGGGCTTCCCCGGAGAACGCATGGACATGAGTGACTCAAAGTTGTTTTTAAGAGCAAGGAGGAGTCCTGGAAAAGCACTCTAAAAGGACGCCTTTGAGGGGGGGGGGTTCTCTCGAGCCCATGGAGGGCCCCTGAGACTGCTGGGAAGGCAAACTCAACCACTGGGACTAACAAACAAGAAACAAGGAAGCAGCTATGCAGAAGGAACCCAAAGACCTGCGGCCCCAGGCTGGCCACGGGAGGACACAGGCAACCCAGAGCCCAAGCCCAGTCCCTGCACAGATGAGTGCAGAGAGACAGCTTTCCAGAAGGAGAGGCTGCTAGCTTCTAGTCCTGCCAGCGACAGGACGGGCTGAATCGTCCGCAGCTGCTTCATCTGCACGCGTTCCGTAAGCGGCTCTGTGTGTGCAAGAAGTCGCTATGCTTTCCACTTCTTTTATTTTTTCCAAACTGTGTAAGCTCCGCTAGTGTAAACCTGTAGCACCTCCAGAGGAGGCTCAGGCCTCCAGGGTTCACAGACATCCTGGCAATCTCTTTTAAACACCCTTAACATTACAAGCCAGGAGCCTCTTCCGTCAGATTCCTTAAATACATGTGTTTACCTTTCCCAAGAAACACACGCACCTAGTTCAGATAGTGCTATCAGACTTCAGGTAAAAAAAACAAAAACAAACAAACAACAAAAAAACAGCCACCGCCACCCTCCCCGCCCCCTCTACGAAGGCAGCCGCGTGGCTTCACTAAGTCATTTTCCTGGTGATCCCCCACGGAACTGCATTTTTCCATTTTTCATCCCTACTGTACGGTAGAACACACCCTGCCTTAAAGGCCTTTCTTCCTGATCCTGTGCCATCCGCAGCATTGAGAAGTCCGGTGATGTGTGTCTACACCCTCCCTCCCAGAGCTCCTTGAATCTCTTAAGATTTTGTGATCCTAGCGTGGCTTCTCTCCCTCGGCATGTGGGGTGCTGTGACATGTATCTGTCTTGTGGCTGTGGGCGTGGTGTATGCGTGGGGGCCAAGAAGGACGTGTGGGGTCCTGCTGTACCACTGTCCTCCATGCCCACATGAGGCAGGGTTCCTCCCTGAGCCTGTGACCCCCTGCCTCTGCCTCACCGTGCTGGGGTGACAGGCTTGCGCAGTTGAGCTGGGACTCCACTCAGTGCTGAGACTGGAACTCTGGGTCTCATGCTTGGGCAGGGGCACACTTACCCACCAAGAATTCATTTTAACATCTGATAATATATGTTCCTAATATACCTGGGGTTTAAGATATCTTTAATACTTTCTCACTCCTTTTATTTCTTTTTATTGAACTTTTAGAACTCCTCCTTCTGCATTGAGAACTTCCTCGACTGCTCTCTGATTCTCATTTCTTTTCTAGTTTCCACGCCTTTGTCTTCTTATCCCATGTTCTATTAGATTTCCTTAACTTTGTCTCCCAACCTTGATATCAAATACTTCATTTTTAATTTCTACATTTTCAATTTCTGTAAGCTCCTTCTTATTCTCTGGCTTGTCCTTTATAACCTAAGATCACTAATTATCATTTTGAAATGAGGTTTTCTCCTGCTCTCTGCTTACTCTCTTCCTCTGAGGCAGCGTTTTCCTGTGTTCATTGTTTCTATAATGTCACAAGCTTTTCCTTAACTGTCTGTTTAGGAGCATGGCACCATACTGGGGTTCACTTGCCCTGGGATAACCCCGCCAGTTCCCTGGGTCAGTGTCCCCAGGTGACTTTCCCTTGAGCAGGACCGATGAGAATCCCAGGCTCATTGCTGACCCTAGACACTGAGCATGGAAAGGGAGTTGGTGGCCGTGTTGGTGACAATGAGGGGTGTGTCTCTAAGCACCGGTACACTTTCACTCACGCTCTGCTTCCGCTTGACACCTGGGATCCCAGGGCTCCTGAGTCTGACAGCTTCATCTCCATAGAGTCAGGAGCCGTCCTTCCTTGGGGAAGGGCAAGAGTCTTAACTCTTCACTTCGTGGACCTTCAGCCCGTTTCCCTGTGCCGCTCTGTGGGGATAATCTAAACAGACACTGTGCCCTTTGGCAATCAGACTGTTGAAACAACAGTCCCCCAGGAACTTGAGTTTCCTTGGTAATCTCATCACTGGGCAGGAGAAAGACTGAACCCCTTCCTAATGCTAGCCAGAGGAGGAACTCGCCTCTCCCGAAGAGATTTCAGGCACTTTGAACA